CATGCCCTGACTCCTGCACCCCCACACATACCCAGCCTCCCCATGCCCTGACTCCTGCACCCCCACACATACCCAGCTTCCCCATGCCCTGACTCCTGCACCCCTCCCCACATTCCCACCCCCACCCTGAGCACCAAATGGGAGCTCCTGCACCCCTCACACCAAACAGGAGCTGCCCAGGTAAGCACGCCACATCCCCAACCCTGAGCCCCCTCCCTCACTAACTCTAAATCCACTACTGGCTATCAGGTCACTTGGGCTGGGGATACTGGGTCAGCTGACCCCCACAGTCTCCAACCTACCTGGGCAGTACAGCAGACATGGCCCTGCCCACTAGCTCCTCTCCACTCCCCAGCCCACCCACTACTTGCTTCCCACCGCTTAAGGCTTAGCCCTCTCCCTTTTAAAAATGATTGCTTGCCCCTTCTCCCCCGTTTCCCCCGGCTTTTCTGGCAGCCACTGCAAGTGCTGACCGTAATGACCATGCGTAGTTTGCAACCGGTCTTTCCAAATGTCTTTGTTGCACTGGACATTTACCTGACACTACCAGTCTCGAACTGCAGTGGTGAAAGGTCTTTTTCACGTTTGAAAAAAGGATAAAAAGTGCTTTACGTGCGACAATGGTTCAAGAAAGGCTTAACCGTCTTACTCTGTTATCCATTGAATCTGAGATGGTAAATTCTATAGACGTCTCTCGATTAATTGACATGTTTGCATTTTATTTACAGCATCATTCTTCACACTAGTCTTGCTTCAGCTAAGTAATTTGTAGTTACATAGCCAGCATTAATGTGAGTAACTTACTCAACCAAACCACTTCGTGTAGCTGTTGTTAATAAAAGCCCTGCAGCCATGTGCTCAATTTCTGTGTTGATCTCCTGTCTTTTACAATCATTCCCCGTGGGGGGGGGGGGGCACAAAAAGTTAATCCGGCCCTGACTGCTGGCTCTGGCAGGGGGGGGAATGCGGATGGGCCAATGGGATCAGCCTCTGCCTGCCTGTCCCTGGGGGCTGCCGGGGGAGTCCAGGGCAGCTCATTCATCAGGTGTTGCCACCAGAAGGCTCCGGTTATTGCTGAGGAGGAGGCGGGTGTGTGTCTCTCTCTGCTCAGGATACAGCTCTGGAGTTGAGCTCCGTGGACCAGAAGCTGCTGCCTCCTCCATTTTGACCTGGGAACCCAAACTGAGAAGCTGCTTCTTACCCAGCAGAGGAGAGACCTTTGTTAAAGCCCCTCGGTGCCCAGCTCGGGTGGGGACTTTCTCCGGTGCCTGGAACCTGCCCCTGGGGCAGCCCCGGGCTCTGCGGACACCAGGTCCTGAACTGGAGCCCGCAGGTGAGGAGAGAGACTTGGGGCAAAGGGCTGGGGCAGGTGTAGTATGAGAAACTGCTATCTGTAGGAATTTGCTACATGTAGCAGAGAAGTCCTACTTTGCTAGAAACTGCTCTCGGATGTAGCTAATTCCTACATAGAGCAGTTTCTTACACCAGAGGGTGTGTGAAACTATCTGTAGAAATGTGCTACTTTTCACCTTTCCTGTCTTCTGGTACTGTACAGAGGTAGCAAATTGTCACCAGTAGCAGTTACTCATAGCTAAGGTTGTGCTTATTTGCTGACTTGTCCTAATTTGCTAAAACTTGACAGTGGCGTGGGATGGAAGCATAAAGTCTTCGGTTTCCAAACGACCCTGCCTGGTGTGTACGGAGATGCTGTTACTGGGAGGGTCTGAAGAGCCGGGGGAGGGAATAGGGGTGTGAAATGGACTCCAGTCCCTTCTGTAACCACCCCTCTCGCCCCGACAGGCTGAAGAATCACATCCAGCTTTCGCTCCAGATCGTCCCGTCTTCCAGGAGACAGGGAAGGGAAATGGCTGTGATGGAGCCAGCTCAGGTAGGGGATTTTCAGGGAGCTGCTGGGCGGGTGGAGGGAGCATCAGGGAGGAAACGGGGTGTGATAAACCTGCTGATTATCTGAATAGGCCTATTGGCAAGGGGGGAACTTTCCCCGTTTATGAAACAGGGCTTGGAACATTTTCCAGGCTCCCAGTGCTGAAGCCTGAACCCACTGGCCAGAGGCTGCTGTGAAAAACGAAGGGAAGCTGTTGGGATTCCTGTCCCTGTCCCCAACTCAGAGCTTGGCTTCCCATATCAGCCTGTGGCTGGCAGGTGTGTGGTAAATAAGAAGACCCTGCCCTGCTCCATCTGCTGGGAGGGGGACGAACAAGGAGCTCTCACCTTCTCCCCACCCCCTGAAGCCACGTGGCTGCTGCAGGGTGGGGGAGGGATTCTGCTTCTCTTGTCCTCCCAGAGCTGCTTTTTTCCCTGCTTCCTTTCCCTGTAACTAGCGGGATTGTGGCTGGGGCAGCAGGTGCTGAGTTGGGGATTCTTGTCCTTTCAGATGCCGGTGACCTTTGAGGAGGTGGCTGTGTATTTCACCCAGGGGCAGGGGGCTCTGCTGGACCCCGCTCAGAGAGCCCTCTACAGGGACGTCATGCAGGAGAATTACGAGACAGTGACCTCGTTGGGTAAGCGATTCCCGTCCCCTCAATTATTAGAAAGTGTAGGGCCTGCATTTCTGACTCTGGTTACGTCAGTGTTTTTCCCCAGGAATTGAAATTAGGGGGAGTGTTCGGATTTACAGGGGGTGAGGAGTCCAGGGCCAATGAGGGGTGAGACCATGAGGGTGAAGATGGGCTGTATGGCACCATAGTTAAAACTGAACAATGTTTCTTGACCATTTTATTAGGTTTAACTCGTGTTTTACAATCATCACAAATTAAAGTTGGCTACTCAAGCCTTCTATGAAGCACTGTATCTACATCCTTCTTGGTTTCTTGTTATAATTTTGCACAACTCTGTTAATGAACTTCTTGAATGCAACGTGTTCATCTTCGGTGGCTTCTCGTGTGTCCGGTACTTCCATTCCTTCAATTGATATGCTCAATAGTTCATTCACATGATCAGGCAGAAGGCGACTTCTTTCAGAACACAAAATTCTATTCAGTGATGAAAAAGAACGTTCAGTTGCAGCTGTTGTGACTGGGAGTAGCAAGAGATGAATTCCTACTTCTTTCATCCCAGGAAACATAGCATAAAGATTGGGTCGAGCCACTAGCGATGATAAAAAAGAAGTTGAAGTCAAATCTTTATTCATTTGTTGTATAATATTCCACTCTGTGTTCAAATTCTCTATTCTGTCCTGAGCACGTGGCAGCCCCATTGCTGGTAGTGCCTCACTCCACTCATCTGTCGGTGTTTTATAGCAGTGGTCGCCAAACTTTTTTGATCGCGCACCCCTATCCGTAAAAAAATGTTGAGCATGCACCCCCTGCCGCGCCGGCTCTACCATTTTTGTCCGAAGCGACAAAAAAAAAAAAAAAGCTGCTTGGACGAAGGTCCTCCTGCCGCGCACCCCCAAGGATCCTCTTGCGCGCCCCACTTTGGAGACCATTGTTTTATAGGACAGGGGTCTGGAAAAGCTACGTAGAATCTAGAAGTCGCTGTTGTAGACTTTTAAGAATTAAGTCTGTTTTCTTTTTCAGTTGTCTTAACAAACACTTCTTGTCCTCTTCACTTAAGGATTCAATGTACGTGCCTTCATTAGTCAACTTCTGGACTGAAGTCTTTGCTTCTTCCAGTACTTTTTCAACGGATCGCTCTCTGATTGATCCACATATAGCTTCTATTGCTGGACAAAGATCTACTACTGTTGTAGCAGATGCCTGGATGGCATTGTGTAATGACCCAAGTGGTTTCAACAGTAGACTTACAAGAGAGCGAATGGCAATAGTCTTCTCTGAACGTAGTAGCAAAAGCAATCCACCAGCCTCACTACGTAGATCCATCCCAGCTTGGTAGATACTTTCCAAAGCCAGTAATAACGGCTGGAGTAATTTTAAGACAACAGCCAAGGAGAAAGCCAGCGGGTTTTCCCAGGTTGGACTAATTTGAACTTCAGCCCAAGTGTATCTTCTATATTTTCCAAGATATTCAGTCTTTTTGGATTCTTGCTGAAAAAAGAATATAATGAAGACATTAAATTTATAGCTTTTTAAATGTCTTTTGAAGAGTCTGCAGCTCATACTAGTGCTAGTTGGAGTAGATGGCCTCTGCAGTGTGTATAGGAGAGATTAGGGTTACACTTTTCTCTAAGCAAAGCTTCTACTCCACCATGTCTTCCAGAGAAGTTTGCAGCTCCATCAAATGCACAAGCAGCCATCAGTTTGGGGTCCAGTTGACAAGCATTTAACTCTTCTAAGATATGGGTTGTCACAGATGCAGCCGATGTGTCTTCTATAACTTGAACATCTAGAAATGCATCTACTGGCCTACCACTGACATCAAGATAACGTACACAATGACTTAATACTTGATGCCCATTTGCATCGGTGCCTTCATCAGCCATGTATGCAACTTTTTTGAATGTGGTGAGAGAGTTCTTCACTTTTTCAACTGTTGAGTCTTTCACTGTTGCACCTCATGCGTCTAGCTACTCAGTTGTGGGAAGGGGGAGGGGAGTGTGGGGCATTCTGGGTCCAGTTCCAACGCCCCGTGATGCATCACTTTGCATCCCAGCAATCCCTGTGCTTCCATCCACATTTGTCACCATCTTTCAACGTTTTTTGTACTGCGCACTCTGTCTTCCCTTTCGGTCTGCGGGAATGGATCCTGAAGCGCTGAGGAATATGCTGATGGGTCTCGCCAGCACGTCACGTTTGGCAGTCAAGTTACTCCTTAAGCTACAAACTGACAGTGAGGAGTCCAACGATGATGTCGACTCGTGTAACGAATATGACACAAGATTGCTTGTGGCATTCACGGACATGCTCAGCACCGTGGAACGCCGCTTTTGGGCTCGGGAAACAAGCACCGAGTGGTGGGATCACATCGTCATGGAAGTCTGGGATGACGAGCAGTGGCTGCAGAACTTTCGGATGAGAAAAGCCACTTTCATGGGACTGTGTGTGGAGCTCGCCCCCACCCTGTGGCGCAAGGACACGAGATTGAGAGCTGCCCTGCCGGTGGAGAAGCGGGTGGCTATTGCAATCTGGAAGCTGGCAACTCCAGACAGCTACCGATTGGTCGCTAACCAGTTTGGAGTGGGAAAGTCAACTGTTGGAATCATGTTGATGCAAGTTTGCAGGACCATTAATCGCATCCTGCTCAGAAGAACCATGACTCTGGGTAACATGCATGACATTGTGGCTGGCTTTGCACAAATGGGTTTCCCTAATTGCAGAGGGGCGATAGATGGGACGCATTTTCCTATTCTGAGACCACCCCACCTAGGATCCGAGTACGTTAATCGAAGGGGTATTTCTCTATGGTTCTCCAGGCGCTTGTGGATCACCGTGGGCGTTTCATTGACATTAACACAGGCTGGCCCGGAAAGGTGCATGATGCACACATCTTTCGAAACGCTGGCCTGTTAAGGAAGCTGCAAACTGGGACTTTTTTCCCAGAGCGGACGACCACCGTAGGGGAAGTCAAAATGCCCATTGTGATCCTTGGAAACCCTGCTTACACTTTAATGCCGTGGCTCATGAAACCCTACACAGGAAGCCTTGACAGCAGCAAGGAACGGTTCAACAACAGGCTGAGTTGGTGCAGAATGACTGTGCAGTGTGCTTTTGGCCGTTTAAAGGGCCGCTGGCGATCTCTGTATGGGAAGCTGGACCTGGCCGATGACAACATCCCTGCAGTTATATCCGCGTGCTGTGCCCTCCATAACATTTGTGAAGGGAAGGGTGAAAGATTCACTCGGACATGGACCTCGGAAGTTCAATACCTGCAGGCGCAATTTGAACAGCCAGAGAGCAGGGCTATTAGAGGGTCCCAACGTGGGGCTGCAAGGATTAAGGATGCCTTGAGGGAGCAATTTGAGGCTGAAAGCCACCAGTAATGTTTGGTGCCCTGCACGGGAGTGAAGTGCAGTGGTTCCAATGTTAGTAGGAATCTGTGCTTGCTACACTGACTTGCAGAGCCTGTTGCTTTCCTGGGCTAAGGTATCTTTTACTCAATGCAATAATAAAGCATGTTTTCAAAGCCAAAAAATCCAGTTATTTAAAAGAAAATTCATGTATTGAAAAGAAACACAACTGCTTGGGAAATAGGGCAAGGGGTTGGGGTGGGGAACGATTCAATCACAGATTTGCGTATGTCCTGTTATCATACTCAGCCTTCCTGTCTGGAGTGCT